TCTTGAACGAAAACACCAAAAAAACGTAAAAAAATTTAAAATATTCTTAAATCTTTTTCTTTTTAGAAACCTGTGAATTTTGAATAAATTGGTGAACACTGCTCCCACGATTCAAGTGCCAAGACACAGGTATAGAATATTAACAAATTGTCTGTTTTTGCAGAGCTCAAAAACGGCAAAAAGTATCATTTTAGGGAGGATTTCATATGGAAACATATAAGAATATTATGAAATGTTAAATTCGACCAAAATAAGACTGAAAACTAAGTTTCTATAAAGATGTGAAATCAAATGATTTATAAACATTATAAAAAGCGGGGAAAAGTAGGGAATAAGATTTTGAATTGGTATTTATTACTAAACAACAGAGAACTATAAAGTTATAAAACAATTTCGTTGCATTGTTTAGTTTAAAATTCAGAACAAACAACTTTATTTCTTGATAAAAATCTGAAAATGGTCTTGGCAATAATTATATTACATTTAAGGAAAACTTAAAAATATAAGTTTAGCACATTCATCTTTTGAATGAACTGGAATCCAAAAGTACTCCGTGTTTATTTCAAAATCAGAATTACAAAAATGTTTTATCAACTTTTTGCTGTTGTACAGTACATTGAAAGGGACTGTCAGTGTAAGTTTAAGTGACCCTCCATGTAAAAGAAAAAATGCCCAATTTACAACAGTACCCTTCAAAGCTTTATCTGATCAGGTATGAATTAGATATCCATGTTTTTGTTTATATAAACTGAATATTTTCATTTGTGCTGTTGTAAAATAATTTGCGCATTTCTTCCTTATAGGGAAAAATAAAGAAATTCACAGAAATAAACACTATTTTAGTCAGAAAAAGGTTTCAATTATACTGTTGAGTATCAGGGATTGCTATCCTTGCATGGAGGGTTCCTTTAAATTGTGCTTACAGTCCCGTTTATGCCATTTCTTTAATTGTTTTTTTTTAGGATTAAATTGTCTCTTCAATCAGACAAGAGAAATCCATCCATCTTATATATTTGTCAAACCAGCATTTTATAGAACTTTAACAAACACGTAACCACTTAATTCAACATGAAAGAAGAGGCTCGGTGGACCATGATGGCGCAGAGGAAATTTAATGTGGCTCTGAAGCAACCTGCCTCCCCCTCCTCCATAATATTAGATCTAGTGATCTATATATAACTATCTATATATAACGTTTAGAATAGTTATATAATAAGTGAGCATAGAAAATTTTATACATAGTAATATAAAGGTATTTTGATAAGTGAATACAAGAATGGTATTCCGTTTTCTCACAATTCATAAAGAATGAAAAAAAATTGTGAAATATTAAAAAATTAAAATTATGTGAATGTTGTATTTGAAGGATTTTGTTGTGTACTAGTTGTTTTGAAAATTAGAAATAGAAGATGCAATTGATTTATGGCCCAAACTTGCAAATTCTCTTCTGAAATACATTTTTTAATTGAAATTAGACTGAATATGAACAAAGTAGGGCTTGTTTTTTTTTATAAAATGTGAATATTTTGAAGAATTATACCAAAAATTTACAATGAATTATTTAATAGGTTTGTCAGAGCTTATAAAAGTATATGTATTCAATGTTCCCCCGAGCAAGTCTATACAATTAAAAGTTTATAAAGTTTAATGCATCGTATTTATATTAAAAATAGCATTGTACAGTAATTGCACTTAATAATGTAAAGTACAGTATATTGTACTGCAGTACACTAGTCAAATTAAATTTACATTTGCCGGTTGAAAGAGTGAACAATTTGTACATAAAACTATGATTAAGGAATATGTAAAAATTAATTCAAATGTTAACTTGTAAAAGAACAAAACAAAAAACCTTTTTTAAATTAAAACAAGAGGTCCAATTAATACACAAGCGTTACTAGAAAACGAACAATCTCAGATCGGTAATAAAGATCATTTAACACCCCCTCT